TAGTTACATCCTCATATGTACACACACTAGAGTCTTCAAATATAACATTATCTACTTCCTCACATGACTCTAGAGTGCTTTCCTCAACATGTATATCATTAATAAAAGTACACTTGAATGATTGACTCTCCAATTTTAGCTCCTCGAATTGGCGTATAAGCTCCTTTTTAGTTTCACACAACTCAGAACTATTTTGTTGGGCATTAGACGCATCAACCTTTGCAATCAATTGAGCTCCCAAGTCATGAATAGAAGTGCCAAATTTTTCGATCTCTTGTCCTATTTTAGCTCTTCCTTCTATTAGGTCTTGTATGCCATCTGTAATTTTCTCACGTTGAGCCTCATATATCTCCAATCTTTCAGCTTGTTCCACCAGCCAAGTTTGACTCAAAATCTCCTCTTTTTCAAAATTTTCCTCTTGCTGGTACTCACTATCTTCATTCAATTCTTCTATATTGGTCTTCATTCTTGTGATTGTTGCCCTCATTCTTTTCATATATTTTTTGAGTTCATCCTGTTGCTCTGCTACTTGCTTTAAAATATCCCTAATATATGCATCAGGTTCCATATCTTGTACTTCATTGCCCCTATCAAACTCACAAACATTATTAGAATGATCATAATAAGGGCTCAGAGAAGGATGAAAAGAATTAGGACAACCATCCCAGTGACCATCTTGACCACCACACATATTACAAATATTCCACTCAAAGGATTGAGATTGTGCGCACAACTCGTTTCCGGGAACATTCTGATAATTTTTCCACCAGTGCGATCCTCCACAATATGGACAAGGATCATCAAAATAAGAATAACCATCATTCGAATAACTTTCATTCCAAGATTCCATGTTAAAATAAATAAAAATATTAATTAAACTAAAACAAAAAAATGAATAAAAAAATCAATGTCTAATCTAGAAGAATAGTTAATTTCTAGGTCCCCGGCAACGGCGCCAAAAACTTATTGCGACCAAAACACACACGCAAGTATATGCGGTCGTCAAGTAATAAAGTGACTAAAAGTTGGATGTCGATCCCACGAGGACTTGTGATTAACTATTAACTAAATTAAACTATCCTAATTATCTATACAAGAATTAAACCTAGAAGTATTTGATTCTAAACAAATTAAAATAAAAAGAAAATAACTAATGAACTCTGAGCCAAAGGATAGCAGATTTTTATGATATCAATGTAATGAGAATGATCTAGGGTTATGGGCTATCTAACAATCCTATTGTATTCTTCTATTGAATTGACTAACTAATTTATCTAGTTTATTGGTTGACAGGGTTAATATTGCTCATAAGAATCTGTCGAGTTCTTACTCACCTATTCAAGCTAACCTAACGCCTATATGTCTATGGAGTTAGAATCAACAAGAACGCATTTATAATTCCTGTAAATCAACCAAGCAAGGCAATTAGGTATATGTCTATCCTAACCACGAATCCGTTCCTCGATGTCCAAGTTCAAGAACTTGATCTATTCAATCCTAAATGCAATCTAGAATTCCCACTTTCGAGTTCAATTCAAGATTCGTAGATAGTATTCGATTGGTGATCAAGCAATTAAATAATTAAGTGCATGATTGAATAAATAAACCAATATTATAAACTAAGAAATCAAAATCAATATCCGAATAATAATAGTCATGAAAGAACCACAACCCTAGAACGTGAAGTTTATCTCCACATAGACATGGTAGCAAAACAACAACTCATACAAAGAAACATAAAAATTACTAAGTTTGGAGGAAGAAAGATGAAACCCGATGAATTCCGGCCTCCACGGCGGCTCTATGCTCGTGTTTTCCTCTAAAAAACGTCCTCCTTGCCTCTTGCCTCTCTATTTATTACACTAAACTATGAAAACCCTTCCTACTTTAACCTTGGGCGAGCTTGACTTTATATAGGTTAAGTGGGTTTCCCTCCAGATTTCCAATTTTACCTCTAAATAACATTTTTCCGGACCAGACACGCGCGAGCTCGCGCGTTTCTTCGCGCATGATTCTGCCTCGGTCTTTCTTACGCGTGAACTACTGCGCGACTTCGCGCGTTTCTTCGCGCACCTGGAGCTTGATTTCGTCCATTTTTTCATCTCGTCCTTGAGCGCACTCAACTCCGAGGGGTTGTTCTTGCTCATAAGTCATTCCAATATCCTCTTGAAAGCATCATATAGGCTCCTCATCCTGCAATGTATACATATCACAATTAGAGCCTATTTTTCATCAATTAACCATAATATGTCATGAGAATATAATCATGCGGAAGCATAAACAATAGCTAAATCACCTAGATTTCGTCTATTATCAATAGGCTATGTATAAGTTTTAAAAAAGGTTCCGTGAAATGAAAAGGTTTGATTTCTTTCTTTAACAAGTATAAAGAATAAAGATCTGCAAGTGCTATGATTTCTGCCATGAATATTACACTTGAAATGAATATCGAACCCGAATTTCGTAAAACTATAGGAAGAAACAATTTGATATAAAATCTTAAAATCTTTCGACGAGTCATTTAGAGTTGATTACTTTATACATAGTAAACAAGGCTATTTTTTTCACTTCAAAATAGATTTGAACAATTCGAAGTATATGAAAATATTTTTGGTTTACTATTTAGCGGTAAAAATTAAGATCACTAGATGATGGAAATTTGAAAAAATATTGGCTTAATCTTGAATGTTCCTTAAAGCATAATAACCAATTTGATATTGATAGTTTAGATTTATTTTCATAATTGAAAATATTAGAAAAATAGTACAATTAGAAGACAACAGTTTAATTGGTACACTCGGTCAAATAAATTTGATTCTTTTTTCAATGCATATATTAATTATGAAATAATGTGTAACTCTTGTTACTGTTGCTTTAGCGGAAAGAAATTTTCAAAATTAAAATTGATAAAATCTTACCTAAGATCAACAATGTTTCAAGAAAGATTAAATGGATTAGCTATATTGTCAACTAAGAAAGATTTATTAGGAGTTATTGATTATAAGAAAATTATTAATAACTTTGCATCTAAGAAACGCTAAGAAAATAAACTTCAAATAAATAAATATTTTTTTTTAAAAAAAAAAAGTTAAGGCCCCTCGTAAAATTTGACTTTAGGCCACATAACTCGTCGGGCCGCCCGTATTGACAGCCACTTCGCTCAACAGTGACAGACTCAGCACAAGTACTTTTGTTTTCTTCTTCGAGCCTGACAAAAAAAATGGAGGGTAAATAAACTAAATAAACGGGGAAAAATGGTTTTCTTATACTCCCTCCGGTCCACAATAAGTGATTTTTTGGCCTTTTTTTGTGATCCAAAATATGTGATCTTTTCAGATTTCAAGAATGAATTGATTATTTTTTTTCCTACATTGTCCTTGGAGTATTTGTTATGAGTGTTTATATGAAGAGATAATAAAGGTTAAATAGTCAATTTCATTGATAATAAATGTTAAAAGGTGAATTACTTAATATGTGTGAAAACAACCAAAAAAATCACTTATTTTGGACCGGAGGGAGTAGTAACCAAAGCTCCCCTACTAGATATACATACTATGTGAACTTTTAACAAATAGCGAAGCAAAACACAACTAAAGCTGAGAATTGGGAAGTTCAGTTCATTCAGCTAATACTCCATATTGATCAAATAGTAATGAATTTATTGCACAAGTTTAACTTACATAACTCAGAGGTAGCCTCCTTATGTAAATGTCGTGTCCTCCAGGTAATTCTTTGAATTGTCAGTTAAATCGTCATACCAAAGCAAACAGCCACTGCGTTTTTCAAGATTTGAGTTAGCCATACAAGAGCAATTCTACTGTGTATCTGGAAGCTTTATACCAGAGTACTTGAGAAATCCATCTCCATTCTGGCAATTAAGGGGTGTCCTTCTAACACACCCGCCGGACCAGTTTGTCTTTGCCCAATTTCTTGGATGTTTAGGCACAAACTTGTCTAAGCAACTACATACAGGAGAAAGTATGATGTTGCAACTACCATATGCACCACATGTTCCGTAATTGTCACAGGTATCTGCTGGTGATGCCAAGTAAACGTGCCATTCCTGTCTCTTCTCATCCCACGCCCAACGCTGAAGCATACCTTTACTGTTCAAGGTTAATTTGGATATAACAGAACTATCCAGGAGCGCGTAGCTGTAAAATGCTTTCCTTTCATCAAAATCCAGAGTAAATGTATAAACTGGATTTTTTGTCAGTCCTGGTACACCACTCCAGCGGAGACCATTCCACGTTCCGCTACTGAACAACTTAACTTTACGTTTCCTCATGACATCCTGAGGATATCCAGTGGGATCACAATGAAATGTATAGTCCCGTGATGCTGGATCGTATTCATTCTTCCATTAGCACCACACTTAATCCGATATACCCAGTTATTCCCTACAATGTTCACATCGGGAGGTGGAGGAACTAATATCCAAGTATGGTTTTGTAGGAGAGCGTTAAACTCTTCAATCATTGCATTAAGCCACCTAGGGTCCTTTGCAGCTTGTGTGAAGGAAGTTGGTTCAGAAGGTGTACTAGAAAGAGAGACACTAAGTGAGGGAAGAACACGTGGTTTTAGAGACCCTGTCATAGAACGAGTAATCATGACATGTGAACGAGCACCTGATTGTTCGGAAGCTAATGGTTGAGAGTAATTAGAATTATTAGGAGATAAGGATTGTACAGTTTGATTAGAAATAGAAACAGGTATATTTGAAGTTGGTTGCAAAGATGTAGGAGTAGACGCTATTATTGTAGAAAGAGGTTGCTTGTTTTGTGGAGATATGGAAGGAGATTGGAGGGGAGTTGAAGGATTTGAATTATGATTAGAATTTTGTGGAGATAATGCTGAAGGAGTTAAAGACGAAACAGTTGAAGAGCGCGCAACATGCGTAGGAAGTTGAGCAAATTTATCACTATTTGAACGTGAGAAAGAGAGAGTCCTAGGAGAAGTTATAGACATGTTTTGAGGAGTTAAATGGATAGAGGGGGAAGAAGTTATATCTGATGTGGAGATGAAATCAAAATGAGAGATAGCAGTTGGTGAACCACACGTTTTATGCAAACTAATAGGAGAAAAAGTAGGAGAAGGTGGCGTGGCTTTTGGTGATGAAGAAAAATAAAGATTTGAAATTGTAGTAGAGATTCCTGGAAACATAGAAACATAGGGAAACAAGGATTTTATAAAATTTACATGACGTGAAATAATTATCCGATTAGTGGATGGATCCAAACATTTGAACCCCTTGTGTTGAGGAGATAGTCCAAGAAACAAGCAAGGTGTAGAACGAGGCTGAAACTTGTGAGCAAAAGAATGTGCAACATAATGGTAGCACAAACACCCAAATACCTTAATTAAATTGTAATCCGGTGGTTTACCATACAATTTTTCATAAAGAGAAATAAAATTGAGAACAGGAAGAGGAGTGATATTAATTAATGAACCCCAAAAAGAGAGGCATCCGCCCAAAAAGAAAAAGGCATTGAAGCTTGAAAAGAAGACATCGTATCAGATTATTAACATGTCGATGCTTTCTTTCGGCACAACCATTTTGAGCGGAGGTATATGGACAAGAGAAGCGATGAATAATTCCATGCTCACTAAAAAAAAGAACGAAAAAGAGAATTGTCATACTCTCTGCCTGTTGAGTGTCAAAATTGTCCCACATTGGTTGGGGAGTGAATTGGGTGGTAATTTCACCATATAAAAGGAGGTCTAATGTTTAGGATTTAAACACACCTCTCATTTGCCTTCTTATCTTCTTAAGGCATTTGTATCTTCTCTCTTTAGTATTATTTCACTTGTATTTTTGGAGTGGAATAAAATATTGGTTGTGTCCGAGGAAGTAGGCAAAATTAGCCGAACCTCGTAAATTCTGGTGTTCCTTTTATTGTTGTATTATTGTCTTATTTATTATTTAGTGGCTGCCATAATTTTTTGTATAGTAGTTGTGACTCGTTCACACTATATACATTTGGCTTCCGCAACAATTGGTATTAAAGTCAAGGTATTGTCTAAGTATGCATTGTGGTTGCAGCATAGTCTGATCTTCCACATCAGAAAAGATTTATCTTGGTAACTGAGTCAAGGTTCTATCTGAGTATGCTCTGTGGTTGCAGCTTAGTCTGATCTTCCACACCAGAAAGGAAATAATCTTTATTCGTATTGTCAGCTATTAAATAATATTTGTGTCAAAGATGGGAGACAATAAACAAGAAGAATCTACATCAAGTGTCAACAATACGTCATCATTGGCATCTTCGCTTATGACAAGAATTGTGTCAAATGCGAAATTTGCGGTCGAAATATTTGACGGGTCCGGACATTTTGGGATGTGGCAAGGCGAGGTTCTAGATGTCCTTTTTCAACAAGGGTTAGATCTTGCCATTGAAGAAAAAAGACCAGATGTTATTGGAGAAGAAGATTGGAGAATTATCAACCGTGTTGCTTGCAGTACCATTCGATCCTACCTTGTTAGAGAGCAGAAATATCCATACACAAAGGAAACTTCTGCAAATAAATTATGGAAAGCACTGGAGGATAAATTTTTGAAGAAAAACAATCAAAATAAATTGTACATGAAGAAGATACTGTTTCGCTTCACCTATGTTCCTGGTACCACGATGAATGAACATACACCAGTTTCAATAAGTTGGTCACAGATTTGAAAAATATGGATGCAACTTTTGATGATGGTGACTTGGCCTTGATGTTGTTGGGGTCACTTCCTGATGAGTACGAGCACCTTGAAACTACTCTACTCCATGGAAATGACGAAATTTCTCTTAGAGAAGTTTGTTTGGCTTTGTACAGCTATGAACAACGAAAGGGAGAAAAACAGAAGGACGGAGAAGGAAAAGCACTGGTTGTGAGGGGTCGTCCTCAAAATCAAACGAGGACAAAGAAAGAAAGACCCAAGTCAAGATCTAGACCCAGCAAAGATGAATGTGCCTTTTGTCGAGAAAAGGGGCACTAGAAGAAAGACTGTCTGAAGTTGAAGAATAAGGTCAAACATAATAATGGAAAGGCCATTATGGATTCAAATGTAGCTGATTGTGATGATTCAGACTTCTCATTAGTTACAACAGAGTTATCAACATCATCAGACATATGGTTGATGGACTCGGCTTGTAGCTATCATATGTGTCCCAACAGGGACTGGTTCGTGGAATTTCAAGAAGGAGAATATGGAGTCATCCACACAGGGGATAACAGTCCTCTTACCTCATATGACATTGATTCAATACGATTAAGGAACCATGATGGAATGATCAGAACATTAATAGATGTTCGATATGTACCGGATTTGAAGAAGAATCTCATCTCTGTGGGAGCCCTAGAATCAAAAGGGTTCAAAATCATTGCAGAAAATGGAGTGATGAGAGTATACTCTGGTGCACTAGTGGTAATGAAGGCCAATCGAAAGAACAATAACATGTACCGTTATCACGGTAGTACAGTTATTGGGACAGCGACAGTAACATCCAGTGACGAAAAAGAGGCAGAAGCAACCAGGCTATGGCACATGCGCTTGGGACATGCTGGAGGAAAATCCTTGAAAACTTTATCAGATCAAGGATTGTTAAAAGGAGTAAAGGCTTGCAACTTGGAGTTTTGCGAGCATTGTGCCAAAGCGAAATGGACAAGGGTTAAATTTGGTACACCGATCCATAATACTAAAGGTATTTTAGATTATGTACACTTTGATGTTTGGGGTCCTTCCAAAACACCTTCATTGGGTGGGAAATACTATTTTGTAACCTTTGTTNTATGCCACCTCATTAATTGCTTACCATCTGCTGCTATTGATGGAAAGACACCATTTGAAAAATGGTATGGAAAGCCTGTTGTAGATTATGACTCTTTGCACGTGTTTGGCTCAACTGCATATTATCATGTGACAGAGTCAAAATTGGATCCAAGGGCAAAGAAGGCTATTTTCATGGAGATTACTTCTGGAGTCAAAGGATATCGCTTATGGTGTCCTATGACAAAGAAAGTAATATTCAGTAGGGATGTTACCTTTGATGAATCTGCTATGGTAAATAAGGTAACATGAGATACCAAACAAAATGAGGGTGCTTCTAAACAGGTGGAGTTTGAGGGAAAATTTATTTTTCCTACACAAGAAGCAGAGGAGGAAACAAATGAAGATTATCCTCTGGAAGAAGAGCTAGTAGAGAGGGAGATTCCAACTCAGGAACCTCAACAACAACTTGAATCAATTGCAACTAGCAAGCCAAAAAGGACAATAACAAAACATGTTCGTCTTATAGAGACGGTTGCTTGTGCCACCTCAATTGTAGTTGATGATGTTCCTACCACTTATAAAGATGCAGTCCAAAGTTCAGAAGAAAATAAGTGGAGGATTGTCATGAATGATGAAATATAGTCCCTTCATCAGAATCATACATGGAGATTGGTCAATCTCCCAAAGAGAAAGAAAGCAATTGGGTGCAAATGGGTACTTGCAAAGAAAGAAGGATTTCCTAACCAAGAAGATGTTCACTACAAAGCAAGATTGGTGGCCAAAGGATATGCTCAAAAGGAGGGAATTGGTTATAATGAAGTGTTTTCTCCAGTTGTAAAACATTCCTCCATTAGAATTATGTTGGCTTTGGTAGCACAGTTGGATTTGGAACTAGTTCAGATGGATGTAAAAACTGCGTTTTTACATGGGAACTTGGAGGAGGAAATCTACATGACTCAGCCAGAAGGATTCAAAGTTGCTGGAAAAGAAAATATGGTATGCAATCTTGAAAAATCATTGTACGGATTGAAACAATCTTCTAGACAATGATACAAGTGATTTGACAAGTTTATGCTGTGACAAGGGTACAAGAGAAGCAAATACAATCATTATGTGTATTTGCGAAAGCTTGAATATGGTTCCTTTGTATATCTTCTCCTATATATTAATGATATGTTGATAGCTTCCGAGAATTCGGAAATTAATAAGTTGAAGATTCAACTGAAGAAGGAGTTCGAGATGAAGGATCTAGGTGAGGCAAAGAAAATTCTTGGCATGGAGATAATAAGAGATAGACGTTCAAAAAAACTCTGTTTATCCCAGAAAGAATATTTGAAAAGAGTACTACAATGTTTTGGCATAGATGAAAAGATTAAGCCAGTTAGTACTACACTTGCTCCCCATTTTAAGCTAAGTACTACTATGTCGCCAGAAGATGAAGCTGAACAAGAGTATATGTCAAAGGTACCATACGCAAATGTTGTTGGTAGCTTGTTGTATGCAATGGTCTGTACGAGACCTGACATTTCACAAGCTGTTAGAGTTATTAGTAGATATATGCATAATCCAGGAAAGGAGCATTGGCAAGCTGTGAAGTGGATTCTATGGTATATTCATAATACTGTAGATGTTGGGTTAGTTTTTGAGCAGGAAGACAATCAGTCTGTAGTTGGATATTGTGACTCAGATTTTGCGGGTGATATGGACAAACGAAGATCAACTACTGGTTATGTGTTTACTTTTGCAAAGGCACCAGTTAGTTGGAAGTCTACTTTGCAGTCAATAGTTGCTTTGTCTACAGCAGAGGCAGGGTACGTGGCTATTATAGAGGCTGTAAAGGAGGTAATTTGGCTTCAGGGGTTGCTAAAGGATCTTGGTATTGGATAAAAAAGTATCACATTTTTTGTGATAGTAAAATGCTATTCAATTAGAGAAGAACCAAGTTTATCATGCAAGGACAAAGCACATTGATGTTCGGTATCATTTTGTATGAGAAATCATAGAAGAAGGTGGAGTCACGGTGAAGAAAACTCATACTACAGAGAATCCTACTGATATGCTGACAAAAGTGGTGACTGCGGTCAAGTTTCAACATTGTTTGGATTTGATCAACATTGTTCAATACTGAAGATTGAAGATGAAGACACAACCAAAATTTGTGACCGAGAGAAAATTGAAGATGTGGAATTTTGCCAAGGTGGAGATTTGTTGAGTGCCAAAATTATCCCACATCGGTTGAGGAGTGAATTGGGTGGTAATTTCACTCTATAAAAGGAGGCCTAATGTTTAGGATTTAAACACACCTCTCATTTGCCTTCTTATCTTCTTAAGGCATTGTATCGTCTCTCTTTAGTATTATTTCACTTGTATTTTTAAAGTGGAATAAAATATTGGTTGTGTCCGAGGAAGTAGGCAAAATTGGCCGAACCTCGTTAATTCTGGTGTTCCTTTTATTGTTGTATTATTGTCTTATTTATTATTTAGTAGCTGTCATAATTTTTGGTATTAGTAGTTGTGACTCATTCACACTATATATATTTGGCTTCCGCAACACTACCACCATCGGATTGAAAATATGCAATAGATGACTTGAAAATGTTGAGACCATTTTATAGAATTCTTTGAATTTATCAAACGCCTCTGACTTGTTCCACATTAAATAAATCTAAGAGTACTTTGTGTAGTCATCAAGAAATAAAATATAATAACGAAAACCGAATTTGAACTAAATGGAGTTTGCCACACATGTGAATGAATTAAAACAAAAGGAGAGTGTGTTTATTATGAGAGGAATTAAATGGCAACTTAGATTGTTTGCCCAGGTGACAAATATTACAACCAGAAGTTTCAAAAGACGAATTACATGCAATAAAACCCCTACGAACTAAAGCTGCAAGAGAACGTTGCCCCGGATGGCCTAAATGTTGGTGCCAAAGAAAGGAAGGCGAGACAATACTTGAAAGAGAAACATGAGATGAGCAACTGGAGACTATGTGAACGGGATAGAGAGAGCCATCATTCTCACTACGGAGTAACACTTGCTTGGTCTTCTTGTCCTTAACAAAAAAACTAGAGTCAGTGAACTCAATGAGACAATTTTTGTTATCCGCACATAAACGTTGAACTGACATTAGATTTTTTTTGTAGAGAGGTAACATATAAAACATTCTTTAATTGAAGAGGCTTCGAAGACGTAATAATAGATGAAGAACCAGTAGATAAAATGGGAAGAAGCTTACAATTTCCAACCATCACCTGTGACGAACTAGCATAAGTAGAGGGAGATGATAACAAAGATTGATTGTTCGTCATATGCGCAGAAGCACTAGAATCAGGATACCATACAGAAGGTTGGACTTCCTCCAAATTCATAGCAGCAAATGATTTTGGAAGTGAATTGGGAACTTAAGAATGATTAAAACGGTTCCTACACTCGAGAGCAGTGTGATTAAAGTGAAAATAGATTTGACATTGTTTAGTCGACGTGAAAGGAGGTCGACCAAGAACTCCATCACCTGGAGAGGAAGGACGAAACTTTTGTTGAAAACCAGCCCATTGATTTGAGAAATTAGAGTGAGTAGAGTATTGACCTCGACCCCTGCCTTTGTTAGATCTACCACGACCACGTCCATTGTATGATACTTTTGAATATGTATTAGTATGAGATAAAGTAGAAGAATGGGGTTGAGAAACTGGTTGTGTTGGAGTGGAAGCAACTAAGGCAGTGTGAGAAGTGGGATCATCATTGTTTGTTGCACTAATATGTGCTTCTTCAGTGAGAAGTAATGGACGCAATGCTAGAAAAGTTGGAAGAGTTCCTGTAGCTTTTAATCCAGAGACAAAAGTTCGATAGGAAGATGGAAGTCCTTGCAATGCTTGGGTTACTAAATCATCATCAGAAACTGGTTTTCCAACTGCTCTAAGTGAACAAGCAAGAGAGTGGAGTTGTTGAAGATAATCCTTCATGGAAAGTGAGCCTTTCTTAAAATTCTGAAATTTTGATTTCAGATGAATTGACGAAGATGAAACCTGATCAAGGTAGAGAGAAGCAAGAACATCCCACGCCTCTTTGGAGGTTTCACAAGCATAGTTAAGAAGAGAATCAAGAATTGGAAGTGAAAGAGTGGAATTAATCCAATTGAGTGTTATAGTATCACATTGAATCCACAATTGATATTCACCATGGGTTGATGCTGGACATGGAATAGAGCCATCAACCAAAGAAAGAAGGTTGTGACTTTTTAGAACAGTAAGAAAAACCTTTTTCCATGTAAGATAATTAAGATATGTCAACTCAATAGGTACAAAACCTTTAATATTAGAAATAATTGGAGGAGGATTTGGAAGACCCAAATAGGATTGAGTGGAGATCGTCTGATTTGGAGAAGAAGTTTGAGTGGAAGAAGAAGTTTGGGAAGCCATGGTGCTCTGATACCAAGTTGAATTTTAAAATACAGAATAGTTTACAAAAGGCCTGCTTGAGTTTAAGAGGCCAGAAGTACTCTCATTTATATTAAGATACAAGAAACTGTCAATGAAATTAATTACAACATATGCGTACATCACTAATTACAATAATATCCTTGTCAAAATGGACTTGCTCTATTAGCAACCCAAACCGACTCTTTTCAGGTACTTGATGCTTATACCATATTCCAGCATACAAATTATTTGTGAAACTACCGGGAGAAAAAAATCCCATTTCAAAGCTTTCATCAGATGAAGTGATAGTCTTACCATCTGTTAGAAAGTCACTTGCAGTGATAGAGTGTCTTTTGAACTAGAAATTGAGCATAGAAAACCAAATAATAAAATCTGCAAGAACTGAAAGTACTCAAGCAGAAAATGTTCATTGGCACTATACTGCTTCTCTTTGGAGACTGAAGTAGTTTACAAGGAAAGTCAGGTTTTGTTCAACATATATAGTAACTAGTGATATCTCCCGAATCAAGATCCATGTATGACATTAAGACATTCTGTATCACACGCTACCTTATCCAAGAGTTATCATAGGCTAATAAACCAAGAATCTACCAAGTAATGGTCTCACTAGTACGAGTACTAGAATTGTATTGCGGAAGCCAAATGTATATAGTGTGAATGAGTCACAACTACTATACCAAAAAAAATACGACCAGGTTCGGCCAATTTTGCCTACTTCCTCGGACACAACCAATATTTTATTCCACTCCAAAAATACAAGTGAAATAATACTAAAGAGAGAAGATACAAATGTCTTAAGAAGATAAGCTGGCAAATGAGAGGTGTGTTTAAATCCTAAACATTAGGCCTCATTTTATAGGGTGAAATTATCACCTAATTCATTCCCCAACCGATGTGGGATGTTTTGACATATTCAACAAATTGAATAAAGATGGTTCTTTTCTTTGCACCAAAAGACTTATGCAGGTTTAGGTATTTGGAGGTAAATTGACCTTTTTCAATAGATATCCATCTAGTGCTCAAGCCTTAAAAACACATCAAACTTTTTACTATTACCACGTCTCTGTTGTAGGTACTCCAGTTTGAGAATACAAGTAAGTAAATAAAATGTACTTTCACATACTTTAACATGGTTTTAAAACACACAAAGATTCGCAGTTCTAATCACACTGCCGTCATTATCAAAAAGAATTTTCAATGTGCTTGGACCATGAAAAGAAATCAGACCGCACATGAGGGGTTGTGTTGAGAATATAATTAAGTAAATACAAGTGTGCTTTAACAATTTAAACATTTAAATGAGATGGTTATCTATTTAGATACTACGTAGAGCAAAATGCTGCAATGTATTAACCTCTGGTTCATATTATTTGTCTTTTTAACTTTTTGTACACCCTTAAGAAAGACATAATAATCTTAATTATAATAATATTTGTCTAAATTATCCTTTATCTCTCTAAAATATTTTCCTTGATCAACTTTACGCTTATTGTAGTGTAGCATGGGAGAATTTGGAAGAAAAATAATAATATTCCTTTCATCCCAATTTATTTGATATACATAATTCGAATTTCAAAAGTCAAACAAGTTTTTCTTTGACCAAGATTTTTTCACATGATCTTTAAACTTTTTGAAGTGTTAGTTATTGTGACTTATAGTAATTTTGTGTAGTTTCCAAACATATAAATTTTATTTAAGAAAAAACTAAAAATTTTATGTCCGAATTCGCGGTCAATATTGAAAAAGTTGACTCTCAAAATTTGAATTGTATCGAATAAATTGGGATGGAGGATTAATTTTTAATTTCTTAAATGTCTCAAAATAAATTTAGGTTACAAAAATGATAAAAATAATGTGGACAGGAGGTAGTATTAATCTTCTTCACACGAAGGCAGATATTTCTACGTTTGGAACATGGCATTGTCCATTATCGACTATTGTGTTTTCCTTGACATAAGAAGTGTATTGATTGTTTCAAGCTACTTCAGTTTGTTCGTCACCTTTCCAAATCTGCATTTTATTTTAGGCCACTGTTTGTTGACTTCATTTTTAAAGTGGAGGTTTCGAATTATGTTGAAAAGTTGGCTGATGATTATTTCTTTTTCCCACCGAATATGGCCTTGACATCTTTTTCATTGCTTGCTCTTGTGGTAAAATACCTGCTGCAAGTTTGCATGCAAAGAAATTAGATGTAGGTTTAATTGACGAATTCTTGAAAATAGAGTTTGTCAAAATCCTTGGCCTTGACGAATTCGTTACCATGGACAGGTGCGTTTTGTGTGCTAGACATGTTTCAGCCTGAAAATCAACAAATCTTGACAAGAAAAAGTGTAAAGATAACATGTGTAACGAAAATCAGCAAAGAAACAATCACTATTATCTTTAGCCCCACGGTGGACGCCAAACTGTTTACCTCAAAAATACGAGTAACAATTAAATACGATTTGTGATTTTAAAGATATGTGATTTATTCCAATACTAGTGAATATACAAGTAATATTAGGTTTAAGTAAGAAGAATTGATGAACCAAACCAGCATCGTTAGAGCAATAAGGACCTCGAGCTCGATTATCTCGGGGGCCTCGAGGTGAGTTAAGAGCAATAAAATATGAACAATAAAGTAAAAATAATAAAGTTGAAGAACAATTGTGGAGCACAGTAAACGAGAAAAGCATAGTAGAATATTCTATTGCAGTGAATGAGATGATCCCATTTATTGGGGTCCCATTTATTGTAGAAATGTAAAGAAACCAACGTTGAGAATTTTCTTTTTATATTGAATGAATGATCTGTTGTACAGAGATGATGTATAAATACAAGGAAGAAAGGAATCTAGGGTAAAAACAGAAAGGCCAAGTGGCATTCTATTACTCACTACTCTATAACTAATTTTTATTCTCTATAACTGAATAGAAGAAAAATGATTGGGGTCCCATTTATTGTAGAACTGTAAAGAAACCAACGTTGAGAATTTTTCTTTTGTATTGAATGAATGATCTGTTGTACAGAGATGATGTATAAATACAAGGAAGAAAGGAATCTAGGGTAAAAACAGAAAGGCCAAGTGGCATTCTATTACTGACTACTCTATAACTAATTTTTAGTCTCCCTAACTGAATAGAAGATAAATGCAAAAGATAAATAATTACAAGTATAAAGTGTAATTTATTCTGATCTTCTAGAAGAGTTGGCCTTCCAGCTGCTTCCGATGGTCCAGTAATAAGCCCAATAGAAATGGCCCAGTAGAAAATAAGGCCCAAGTCCAAGTCTTCTTTACAGATCAAAGCATAAGACATATTAACACATTTCGGACAAAACAAAGCTAACCTTAGAAACATCAAAATACTTCTTCGTTTTCTCTAACTTTCTCAGAAATTAGGGTAACACCAATATTTATATAGTAGGGGAAAATCCTAATATGGTACATTTTTAATTATGGTAAAGAATTCTATTGGTACGACTGTTTAACAACCTTGTACGGACTCATACTATTTCGCACAAATTTTATCCCATAATTTATGCCTTGATCCATATGTCCTTGAGAAATTCCTGCTCTTTCTTGAGTGTCATCGAAATGGAATTCCCTCGAGGGAGGTCGTACCAGGCCTTCGATTTGCTCTCGAGGTATGCATTTTCCAGTCAGATCTGGTCTTTACTTTGTGTTGTCGAACTTGAGCCCGAGGTACTGTTAAGTCCTCGAAATCGAGTTCTCCGATTTGGACCGTATACAATGTGTTAGCTTTTAAGAGGAGGAAACTTGTCCCTCATTGAAAACATAAAGAAAGGAATGGGTTTGAATATTCCGAAAGATGTTTTGGAGGGAAATTAGAATTTCACTTGGGCACTAGAGCCGATTAAATAGTCGGAAGTTAACATTTTTAGTCATCTATTAATTTTGTTACTTGACAAATAACATTTTTAAATTATCAAAATGTTTTAACAGTTATTGGTTTTGAAAAGATGACTATTGATTTTGTCGGTAGACAAAGGTTGAGTCTGTTATTTTTTAAAGACACCTAAAATATTTATAAATACCCTATTTCTCTCTAAAACCAAATACATTATAAAAAGCATCTTCTTCTCTTTATGCTATCTACAATTCACAAAGTTTGTTCTAGTGATAAAACTAATACTCAAATTTTATAGGCTTTGTAGTATCGGAAAAGAATTCTGCCATAATCCTTGCAATGAAAGTAAAAGACTTAAATTCATTAAGGACAATAAATACACTATCAAAGGCCTAATTATTTCTGACACTACTTTAGGGAGGCAAACAGACATGGTCAACACATAAACTAGCTTCGTTGAGTCTCAGACATCGATCGTTAACACATCTTCTTCACAAGCTTGGAAGGTTTGCCGAGACAGATTGGAGAACTCATGCAACTGGACAAGTGGGAGATGGCTACTTCCAGTTCCAGAAATAAACACCTAAAGGCTGCGGAGATTCAATTCGACCCACCTTGAAGATGCATGGCCTGTTTTGTTTATTTCAGTAATTTTCTTTTGTTTTCACGTCTGAATTTTTTCACTTGATCAGTAGAGATTGGAATGCTAATCTGTCAAATTTCACAAAAAAAAAAAAAAGAAGTCATCACCACCTAACGTTTTCAATAATCTAAACCTCCATTTGAAAATGAAGTCATCAATAGTAAGCCTAAAATAAATGCAAACTTTGTGAATATCGAAAGCTCCAGTTTTTGAAAAGGTCAGCTAGCCAACAACAATCAATCCAAACTTCCAAACTTACACTGAATAATATCCACATTCATATGAAGAAGATCAATAGTACATTCCAGCACTTACTTTGCCCCATGTAGCACCTACAACATAGCAGCTAGCAGGTACAATTGTTTTATGCTTCTTAGTTAAGGCCTTGACCACTATATATATGTTTATTGAATCCAAATTCCAAAAGGGTCGATCGGTCAACTTCTTTCTTTTTTTCTTTTGTTTGTATTTATGAGACCAGTACTTGGTAGATAGCTTGGTTTAGTAGTTGCTGATAAACTTTGGATAAGGTTGCATGTGATAAAGCGCGCAGTTCTTTAATGTCTTAACACGGATATTTGATTTTGGCTGATACTATCACTTGTTTCTATGATCATTAATTGTCTTCACTTCTCTCCAAACGATATGATTCTGTACCTGAATAGGCTGAAGAGATGGCTTAAAAAAGAATAGGGTAATTAATATTGACAAAACTGGTCTCGACTTTCACTGGAAGGCAAGGACTAATTTTTCAGCAAGGCTGCAAATGGAAAGTTTTCTGCTTATGCTTCAGTTCTTATTGCAGATATTATTATGTGCCTTCCTATGCTCTATATCTAGTGCAAAAGATACTATCACGTCATCTGACTTTCTAACAGATGGTAAAACCATCACTTCATCTGATGGAAGCTTTGAAATGGGATTTTTTTCCCCTGGTAGTTTCACGAATAATTTGTATGTTGGAATATGGTATAAGCATGATTTACCTGACAAGTCTGTGGTATGGGTTGCCAATAGAGCAATTCCACTCAACAATACAACAGGTGTTATGTTGAAAATCATCGATCCAGGGCGACTTGCTCTTCTCGCTGCTTCAAATACAATCATGTGGTGTACTAATACGTCGAGACCTTTGGCTGTGAAGAATCCAGTTGCACAGTTGTTGAATTCGGGGAATCTTATTGTAAGAGATGCAAATGATAGTGAACCTGAGAACTTCATGTGGCAGAGTTTTGATTATCCTACAGATACACTCTTACCGGGCATGAAGCTTGGTAAGAACTTTGTGACTGGTCAAGAATTTTACCTCTCCTCGTGGAAGAATGAATATGATCCAGCTCCAGGAGAATATACATTTCATTGTGATCCTACTGGATATCCACAAGATGTCATGAGGAAAGGTAAAGTTAAGGTGTTCAGTGGCGGACCATGGAATGGTCTTCGCTGGAGTGGTGTACCAGGACTAACAAAAAATCCCATTTATACATTTAGGTTGGATTTCGATGAAAAGAAAGCATTTTACAGCTTCATGCTACAGGATAGTTATGTTATATCCAAATTAACCTTGAATAATCATGGTATGCTTAAGCGTTGGACGTGGGATGAGAAGAGACAGGAATGGCACGTTTACTTGGCATCACCAGCAGATACCTGTGACAATTACGGAACATGTGGTGCATATGGTAGTTGCAACATCATACTTTCTCCTGTATGTAGTTGCTTAGACAAGTTTGTGCCTAAACATCCAAGAAATTGGGCAAAGACAAACTGGTCCGGCGGGTGTGTTAGAAGGACACCCCTTAATTGCCAGAATGGAGATGGATTTCTCAAGTACTCTGGTATAAAACTTCCAGATACACAGTATTCTTGGTTTGATGTGAGTATGACACTCCAAGAGTGTAAACGAGCTTGCTTAAAGAACTGCTCTTGTGTGGCTTACTCAAATCTTGATATACGCAATGGTGGAAGTGGCTGTTTGCTTTGGTATGGTGATTTAATTGACATTCGAGAATTACCTGGAGGACAGGACATTTACATAAGGATGGCTNGCACTTTCTTACAATATTATTCTCAGTATTCTAACAGATGACCCTTTAACAGATGAAAAGAAGAGCACGATACTCAACTGGCCTAAGCGCTTCAACATCATCAATGGAATTGCTAGAGGACTTCTGTATCTCCATCAAGATTCTCGGCTAAGAATTATCCACAGAGATCTTAAAGCTAGTAACATTCTGCTAGATACTGACATGAATCCCAAGATATCAGATTTTGGCATAGCTAGAACTGTGATAGGGAATGAGACTAGTGCTAATACACACCATGTGGTTGGGACACAGTAAGAAATTTAATGCCACCACTTTTTAGCATTTATCTTATTTATTATATTCTCTGTCTAACACTATTACTGTTTAATATGTGATGCAGTGGCTACATGTCCCCAGAGTATGTGGTCGATGGTGTTTTCTCAATTAAATCAGATGTATTTAGCTTTGGTGTGTTAGTGCTAGAGATAATCAGTGGCAGGAGGAACAGAGGATTTTCCCATGGAAGTCGCAATATCAACCTTCTCGGACATGTAAGACCTGTATGTTAATTAAAGATGATTTAAGTTTTGTGCATTGAAAGGTGTAAACAAATACTTATATATGCAGACCATTTGTAAGTAATTGCAAGTGATAATGTAACTAATATGTTATCACAAGGTTAAGCTACACTGATAGTGCAAAAAATCTTAATTGTCAGTATATATAACTTGAATCCATTAAAGACGCATCAACTAGTTCCTTGATTCTGTACTGCTTGTGTTATTTAACAGGCGTGGAGACTTTACAAAGAAGGTAGAACATTGGAGCTAATTGATGTGCATCTAACAGATTCGTGTTATTTTTCTGAATTGCTACGGTTAATTCATGTCGCTCTGTTATGTGTACAACAACGTCCAGAAGACAGACCAGACATGTCTGCAGTTGTTATGATATTGGCTAATGACGCCGTTTTGCCTCAAGCTAAGGAACCTGGTTTTTTCACAGGAAGCAAATTTACTGATTCTGATTATTCTTCAACCAAATATACAACAAATGAAGTTACCATCACACAGTTAGATCCCCGGTAAATTAAGTTACAGATTTATACAGATTTTTACAGAAGGGTTTCCATATGTATCTTACTATTAAGATTGTACATTTTATGAGTTGTATCTAATTAGGAACGAACTTCGTGTATACATCAGGTTTGTTAGATTAAGTCTAGGATGAGCATTAGTTCCAAAATTAGGTGAGATGGACCCTTCTTCTTCTATTTCCTTGATTGTGAATCCTTGCTATGAATTTTAAAGTTCACTGATATTAAATGCTTGTTCATATATTGGGCCAGGACTAAATCAAAGCCCATCATTATACATTTACTATCATTTAAGTTGTACTCAAATACTATGGAATTGATTTCTCCGTCAGAAAATTTTGTGAATTTGCAATGATACCACAAAGTACCAACTTTTAACCCTAATGTTCTTGTTCCTCATCGTCATCCTCGAAGAAGCCGCCAAGCTAGAGCGAGGTAATGTCATTGAGTTTCTTTGTTTTTCTTATTCTTTATTTTCCTCTTTCCTATGGCTGAATTTTGGGCAGTTGAGGTTAGGGGCCTTAATTATGCTTACTATTAGCTATTTATTGCAGTAGGATCATGCAGATACTCAAGAGTTCCTTTGCTAGTAGCAACAGGTAACGCAATTTTCGGTTTACTTGTAATTGCTGCGCAATTTCATTTAGTTCCATGCTTGGAGCTGAGTATTTTCATGGCCTAGGGAAGTGGGAGTATTTTCATAGTTATTCCCGCTTAATTTGTTTTTTCCTCTAATTTTTTCCCCCATAGAAATACATAATGATATTAGATTTAGACGTTCTATAACAGAAACAAATAGACAATATACTAAAATTGCATAATTTTCTAAGTGGTGAGGAGTATTATAGGAAAAAAAAAAAAAAGATTGCCAACAAAGAAAATGTCGAATTGGTCGTATCGTGCACTTTGGGTTCAGCTCTTTCTTTTAAAAGGAGAAACAATAGTGGGTTACAAGTTACAACTTACAAGTTGTTCAATTTTGTTTCGTGTCCAAAGGTTCTGTCCTGTTTTACTTTGTAAATCCTAAGTAGAATAGATGATAAAATTGCATAACAGACAATATATTAAGTTGTTCCGCATTGAACCCGCATTGACGCGTATTAAACCCGCAACCCGTTCCGCCCCGCTTTAAAAAATTTAAAAATTATTTTAACTTGTCCTGCCTCGCCCCTGCCCCGCCCCATTGTTATCCCTAAGTGGGAGCTGATAATCAAGCAAAAAGAATGTAGTCTTTTGTTTCTCTTTTTATTTTTTCACGTGTTTGCTGACTAGGGCTTTTTTTGTTGCAAACTTCTAATATAGATTTGTGTTAACAACAACTACAATTCAAAGTTCGGGTCGGCGTTACGAATTCATTTATTTTATTCAGCACAACTCATCAAAATCAAAATAAAATAAAAGTACAAGTGAATATATATNCTTATTAGCTCTAGCGATGGACGCACTGGCTCACCATATTCAAGGGGATGTGTCATGGTGTATGTTGTTCGCTGATGATATAGTTCTGATTGATGAAACGTGAAGTGGTGTTAACGAGAGGTTGGAGGTCTGGAGACGGACCCTCGAGACTAAAGGTTTCAAGTTGAGCAGGACTAAGACAGAGTACATGGAGTGCAAGTTTAGCGGCAGGTCAGGAGAAGCGGACATGGATATGAGGCTTGCCTTTCAAGTCATCCCAAGAAAGGGAGCTTACAGTACTGGAGGTTGGTTATCCAAGGAGATGGGGAGATTGACAAGGATGTCATACACCGTATAGGGGTGGGGTGTATGAAATGGAGATTTGGGTTTGGCATCTTGTGTGACAAGAAGGTGCCTCTGAAACTTAAAGGCAAATTTTATAGAGCGGTGGTTAGGCCAGCCATGTTGTATGGTGCAGAGTGTTGGCCAGTCAAGAATTCCCATATCCAGAAGATGAAAGTTGCATAAATGAGGATGTTGAGATGGATGTGCGGGTACTAGGCTGGATAAGATTAGGAATGAAGATATCCGGGTGAAGGTGGGTGTGGCTTCCATGGAAGATAAGATGTGGGAAGCTAGGCTTAGATGGTTCGGGCACGTGCGGAGGAGAAGCCTGGATGCCCCGGTAAGGAGGTGTAAACGGCTGGCCTTGACGGGTATAAGAAAAAATAGAGGGCAACCTAAGAAGTATTGGGGAGAGGTGATCAGGCAGGACATGGCTCTTGATAGGAAGTTGTGGAGGTCGAGCATTAGGATTGTAGGTTAGGTGATAGGAGGCTAGTTAGGAGATAGTGACTCTAGTTGTGTCCTTAGTACTTCATTAGAATTGTAGGTTAGGTTGTAGGAAGCTAGTCTGGTAGTGATTTCTCTTGGGATGTTAGTGGCGCTTGTTGTGTCCATATTACTTTTCTGTAGTACAGTGCCATTATTACTGCTTAGTGTTTTTGCTTTCCTGTCTATTTCTTGGTTATTGTGTTGCTGGTGTTATCTTTTCTGGTTTCTTTTGTTGTTATTGCTGCATAGCCTCGTTCTATCTTCTTATGCCGAGGGTCTATCGGAAACAGTCTCTCTACTTCTCCGGAGTAAAGGTAAGGTCTACGAATATACTACCTACCCTAGACCCCACTTGTAGGATTTCACTGAGTTGTTGTAGAAGTTTTGTTTTATAAGAAACATATATTAAGTTTGATCAAATTTACATCTTCAGAAGTTTTGTGTTATAAGAAACAAATTCAGTTTGATATTTGTAACAAAGAACAATAGAAATAGAATAATATTTCATCCATAAGTAGATAACATCTTCAAGGAAATACTCAGCTTGATCTTTTGTTTTAGATGCTACAGTATTTCTCAAGAATCAAAGCTCTAAGTTATTTCAGAAAATTACTATTCATGTGCACACAAGTCAAAATAGTTATCTTGTTCATACTCTATCGAAGATCTAATGATGTGTTTGTGACTTCATTATTTGAATTTCCTGCCTGCGGTCCTCAGTTTTCTGGACTAGGTACCTTTCTTTCTATGAAAAATACTGGTTCTTTAGCTTCTGACAGTACAATCTCATTACGCAACATCATAATTACAGAAGACATGTTTGGTCTATCTTCTCGACATAGTTGCACGCATAATAGACCCACTTGGATTGACCTTAAAACTTGAGATATATGGCAAGAATCAGCTAGCTGCTCATCAATTAATTCCAAGGACCTATCTTCTTTGTAAAGCTTCCACGCCCATTTGAATTTAGATCATGGATCATGATAAATTCCATATATGTATAATAGAGACTATGTATAGAGTGCCTACATGACCGAGAAGGTTAAGGTTGTGATCTTGATGGAGAAATTTCTCTTGCAGCTCACAATCTCTAACACCAAGATGCCAAAGCTAAATACATCTGATTTTAATTAGAAGATTCCATCTACTGCATATTCTGGGTATATGTAGCCCNATGATATAATAGATTCTTACTGTGTCCCAACCACATGGCTTGTGTTTGCTCCTATCTCATTCCCTGCAACGCTTCTAGCCATACCAAAGTCTGATATCTTTGGGTTCATTTCTGTATCTAGCAAAACATTGCTTGCTTTAAGGTCTATGTGGATAATCCGTAGTCGAGAATCTTGATGGAGATACACTAAGCCACGAGCAATTCCATTTATTATGCCAAAACGCTTTGGCCAATAAAGTAATTTGCTCTTTATTTGATCTAGAAAAAAGCTTTCTGATTAGTTGTTTTTGCGAACATGCTTCTGCCTCTGTCTTAATGTACATGTGATGACTAATAGAATAAAGCATTGTTATTAAATTAAGCTTTTGTAGTAGGTGATAAATCCAAACCAAATATGTAATAATTTGATGTACTTTCAAGGTTTTGCACCTCTCAAGTACAAAGAAGAGAGAAAAAAAGCATTCCACTAAAGTTTTTCACAAAACTAGCGAAAACGTTCTTCAAATTCACGTGAGAAGAATGTAATATGGAAAGAATGTATTTGGAAATCCTGAATGTCCTTAAGTGTAGGTTTATTAGGAGTCCAGTTTTGGGTAATAATGGAGGGAAATTCAGGGTGAGTGGTCCAAATGGTTTCAAAGCGAAATATTTTATCTTGAGGAGCTTTATACTTTTTTAAACTTAATAGTAAGGGACTATGGTCTGAGTGTGTTCTGGGCAAATGCTGCACTGAAGCCTCAAGATATAGTTTTAGCCATTCGTAATTAGCTAAGCATCTATCTAAACGTTCTAGAATTTTATTGACTAATTGACGATTATTAGACCAAGTGTAACGACTACCCATATACCCTAAGTCTACAAGGTTGCAATAATTTATGCATTTTATAAATTGGTCACTACGATTATTATTAATACTAAGGCCATTATATTTTTCATTAGATCTAGTAATTTCATTAAAATCACCTCCTATTAACCAAGGTAACCTAATTTGATCATGTATAGTACGTAAATTGTCCCACAGTATAGTGCGTGCATGTGTATCATTTTTTGTGTAAACAATGGATAGTAACCAAGCGTTAGGGTTAGGGTATACCTAAACAATGGAATGGACCTCCTGGTTTGTGGCTGCCACTTTATCAAGTTTGATGTCCTCCTCCTTCCATAATAGGGCGATTCCTCCAGAAATTCCTTCAGCAAGCGATTGTGCTAAATGTGAGAAGCCAAACTCAGGTTTAAGATATTCATGATCTTGCATGTGCATTTCCAGAAGAACCACAAGAGATGGTTTGTGGTAGTTAAACATCGAGCGACAATTTCTTTTAAACTCCGGTGATTGAGCTCTTCGGCAGTTCCATATGACAAACTACATGAATTGATCATTGAGTGGATTGAATGGAGTCTCCCTCTCCATTGTTGAAGATGTGTTCATCAGTGCTGGAATCAACATTATTGCAAACTTCCCCACCTCGGGGGTTTCTTGTTGGACGTATATTTAGTGATACACTTTGTAGCTCTGGTGGATAGGTTATGATCACTTTTCTTTTGTACTATTCTTTGAGGATGTATGTCTTATTTCCATTTAGGTAGCTCAGTATAGGAAATGTTTCTCTAATTTCTGTCATAGTTGTTGCTACTTCCGAGTAAGATATGGCGTCGAGTTCATTGTGAGATGGACTGGGAAGGGGAAGTGGGCTGGTTGGAGGTGTCAGGGGGGTGGTATGGGGATGTTTGTGCATGGAGTGGTATTATAGGTGATATTGCTGTGCGAGGTTGTATCCATGGAACAAATGTATGAGGTGGCTATTGGGGTGGGTAAAAGGGAAGATCTATGTTGTTCATTGGTGGATATGGTGGCACGAACATTGGCAGAGGAGTGGGGATTTGTGGTGTCATTGTTGGTTGTGGGTGAAGGACTGGGGGGGTGCATTACCCATAGGAATTGGTTGTAGAGAGTCACTCCCATGCGCATCCCCTTCGGTGACTATTTGAGCTATATTCGTCGGATTTTGGATCATCACTATTACATCTTGGTTGTCTATCTCCATGGTGAAGGTCAGTGCATGGTCTTGCATGCTCATTTCCAACCATGACTAGGGGTAAGCTTGAGTTGGTGGATATTGTATGATATAGATGGGTGTGGGTTGTGGTGGGTGTTCCTGTGATGGTTGCATTGTGATAGTGTTTAGAAAG